GCTAGTCGTCCTACAGATCGCACGGAAGCAACATTGGTCAGAGTTTAGTCATTCTGAATGATAAGAACGAAAATGTGTCCCAAAAAAAGTCAGAAATTGCAGAAAGCGAAAGGATATTAATTGTTAAGTTGCGTAACCAAGGAAAGTCTTACAGAGAAATTGCAAAATTTATTAAATGTAAATAGATCTATCTACGATACATTATATCATTAAAAAATCAAAAAAATAAAGGAAGTGTAAAAAAACAAGCACCGTTCAGGCCGCCCGAGAAAACTAACAGAGAGAAAAGAAAAAGTGTTTGGTTCGTGAAATACAAAAAAATCCAAGTACTTCATGTGTAAAACTTGCAGCAATCGTTAAAGAGAACTTTAAGAAGGATGTACATCCAGAATTACGTCGAAGAGTTCTACGTGAAAGTGACTACAAAATGCTAAAGTTCTTAGAAAGAAACCGTATATTAACAACAGTAATAAAAAGAAAAGATTGATATTTGCCAAAGAATTTATTAATAAGGACAATTCATTTTGAAATAAGGTAATATTCTCGGATGAGTGTAAATTTAATGTTTTTTGATCGGACGGACGGAGGTTTGTTTGGAGAAAAGCAAACAAAGAAATGGAAATCAAAAACTTACGTGCGACTGTTAAACATGGAGGTGGCTCAATTATGATATGGGGGTGTATGGCAGAAAGCGGAACAGAAAACTTAGTATTTATAGACAAAATATTGAATAAGTACAAATATTTGCACATTTTGCAAGAAAATTTAAGAGAAAGTGCTACGAAATTGGGATTATCTGACGATTTTTACTTTCAACACGACAATGATCCCAAACACACGGCAAAAATCGTTAAGAAATGAATTTTATATAATACTCCCCACACATTGCAAACACCACCACGGAGTTCAGACATTAATCCGATTCGAACATTTATGGGCAATAATAGAAAAAGAATGGAAAAAATTTGTCATAACTTCTGAGACAGTTTCAAAAAGAAAAAATTCTTGAAGTATGGAACTCTATTGCACCAAGTTTTACTGAAAAATTAGTATATAGTATAAACAGTCGACTTAAACATGTAATTAAGTCTAAAGGTGGGCCTACTAAGTATTAACAATTGTTAAATGTAATAATAATTATCTAATTCAAATACTTTTGTGGTTTTCGTAAAGTGTGTGTGTTTATAATAAATATTTCCTAACTCTTACATATGTTTTCGGATTTATTCAAGACTTTACCTATTTACTCTTGATACTTGTATCTACTTATAGTGCAAATGATATATTTCAAAAAGTTTCATACAACACACAGAGCGGCAAATTGCGCGAAAACGACAAAACAAGCTACAAACGAAACCGAAACAAATTTCTCTTTTGCAAAACAGATCTGGAGTCTTATCCGACGAGAAACTGATTCGGAGCAATTTTTCTCTTTTTTTTTTTTGAAGAAAACAAAAGATGATTTGATTTACAATTTAAAAAACAACAACAATAAAAAGAGCAATTATAAGCGACGTAAAAGTATTCGATTAAATTATTTGCAGCATTGTAATTTCGTGGTGAATCCAGCGAGGAACGAGTTGTGTCGACCTGAGCTCGCGTCGCTACCACCGCCGACATTTTCACTTCAAAGGGGTTTCGCATTCGGCAATTAATAATTAATTATGGTGATTCTTATCACAGAAGTAATTTTATATGTACGATATTCATGTTTCAATACACGCCCGCCCGCATCTACGTAGCGACGGGCGAAACGAGGTTGTTTTTTTTTTTTTTTGTTTTTTGGTTTTGTTTTACTACCGATGATGAGCGTTACTTCGTACGTGTCTCCTGTTTTAGTTCTTTTTGTTTTTGTTTTTTTTTTTTTTACATCGTATTCTTCATCGCACGGCGAAAAAAAGATAAAATCGAGAAATCTAGCCGTTCTAGCGGAAAGAGAACTGCGCGCGTGGAAATTTGATGCACCGCTTAATCCTTTAAGGCCCATCTGTCATTATACGAATGTATTATTTTATTTTATTATGTACAAAATTGTTTTGAAGTGAAAAGATCAAAGAAGGTTGTTTGAGTGAAAAAGTGTGTCACAGCGAAAAATGAAAGTGGTGCATTGTGCGACTTTTGTCATTTGCTAACAAACAAATTGGTCGAAGTTGTTTCACAAAGTATTTTTTTATACACGTGTGTATATTTAATTTTCCTTTTATATGTAAAATATATATAAATTTGCAAACGCCACACACACAGTTTTTTTTTTGTTGTTGTTGACAATGATCTTTTGACTTCGAGTTTTCGAAATCGGGGAAAAGGGGGGAAGAGGGGGAGGAGAGAATATATTTATACTGTCGAGAGAGAAAGGAAAAAGGACTAAGCGTGCGAACGTGACTCTTTAAACAGGAGATTGGCGAAGGCTTGTGCGAAGAGAAGCTGTGCGCACAAAGATAACCATGTCTCTCCCAAGTCGGCCCGATTCGTCCAGGAGTTTCGAAGTATTACGCAATGTTAAGCAAATACGAAATTTATACGTAGCGCGGCTTACTTTTAACGCGATTATTGTTTTTTGGATTAAAAATACAATAACACATCACGCAAAACTCCGTTGAATTCTACTCTCGTTATTCCCGATCTCAAAAGAACGACCGATAAAGAGAAAAAAAAAAGAAAATACTTTTGCAAATCGACTTGCGAAGTGTCCGAGTTGCGTGCGAGCTCGCGTTCTAAAATCGTTCAAGTAAAGTTCCCATCTCTGGTTCGGCTTGAACTCGGGATTGAATTCATTTTCAACGAGAAGAAAATCGATAACGTTACCGAAATAGGTATGTAACGCGACTTGTAACATTTTGTCATGGTTATCCTTTGTATAAAGTCGGCCGATAAATTCGGGGATATGTCGCTTGGATAATCGCTTGAGCGTGTGTGTCTCGTCCGTCTCTGTCTATTCTCACATCTCATATACGTACCGCGCATTATCGAATATTAAAAACGCAAATCGAGGTCGGTGCTTAACTTACGGTCTAAAAATCGATTTCTCGCGCGCGCGGTATATAACGTCGCGCCTCCTCCCCCCTCCGATGGATAGTTAGAAGTTCAGCAATTACATTATAGCAGCGATAGGTAAATAGTAAGTGTAGTTTTTTTTCTTGTTTTCTAGCGATAGAGTAGTAGAGTAATAGTAATATTATGATTAGTAACGACGTTTTTTTTTTTTTTTTTTAGTAATAATAATAATAGTAGTGACGATAATCATAATAATAATTATTCAGTAGCGCTAGGAGTATAGCGATAAATAGTAACGATAATTATTATTTTAATAGTACTATATAGTCCTGCGGTTATGATAAATAGCACTCTCTCTCTCTCTTTCTCTCGTATTTTTTTTCTTCTCTACAACGACAATTGTCTCGTTTCCTTCGGCGTAAACAACAACAGTATTACACGACTTTTCTCTTTCTCTCTCTCTCTCTCTCTCTCTCTCTTTGTCTCATTTATACCAAACGATTATTTTACGTGCACATATACATATATATCGAGCTTCTAAGAGCTTTAATTCGCTTTACATTATACAGATTTCGTTTTTTGTTTTTTTTTTCTTAATATATGAAATATGTCAGTGTTTATCGTGCGTGCAATTTTTTCTTTCTCGCTTCTCTTATATACTCTCGTTTTAATTACAATTGGGTTTTCGATCGCACGGAGTTATTTTATCCCATTTTGTGTGTGTGTATGTGTGTGTGTGTGTGTGTGCAACGCGCGTTAGTCCCTTAAATGTACAAACACCATGTAAAAGTTTGTTTACGTTGTGTTACTCGCTAGTTTCGTTTTGGTGAGCATTTTTTTGTTTTGGAAATAACAACGCAACTACTCTCTCATTCTCTTTCTCTCCTTGTTCTCACTCACTCACTCACTCTCTTTCTCTTTCATCAACGCCCTTTTCGCGTATCGTATGTATAAAAAAAATCTCCGGAGAAGCGGCAACGAAGACACTCAGAATACAAAATATACCGTACCTCGACTGCGCTGTTCGGCGCTTTAACAACCGCGTTCGGTTCTAGATTGTTTTTTTTTTTTTTTTTTCGTCTGAATGAACGAACGAACGCTCGCGCGGGTTTTTTAAAGTCGACGTGTTGCGGGAACTCGGACGGCCGAATTTTGAATCAAATTACAAATTCGCATCTGCGCGTCTTCGTTTCCACATTTTTGGGTATCACTATTGTAAGCAAATGTCGTTTTGCTCGCAAGTACCGCAGATAAAACGCTTCGTTTCCGAACGCGATTCGCACGCGACGATTTCGCTCCGACAGCCGATGTTTTTTTTTTTTTTTTTTTTTTTCATCTTACGACGGCGTCGCGACGACACGCTTCCTCGGATTATTCTCTCTTCCCTGATCTTCCCGCTTCGTATACTTATTTGATTACATACGTGTGACACGCGTGCGTTAGACGAGTTAGAAAATTACGCTAGATCGGAGGACGTCCTGGGTGAATCTCTCCCGTCGATCGTCGGCCACGCCGCCGATTGGCTTTTTTTTTTTTTTTTGTTTTTTTTTTTAAATAATCGTCGGTATTCGAATTCCATGCGACCGAAAGAGACCGTTTATAGCACGGAGTTCTTTCTTCAAGGTACGTATATCGCGTTTACGTTTCCGTAAACCGTGCGTAGGAACAACTCCGAGGAAAAACTGCTTGAATGAACGAAACCTTCGGTTTAAACACAACGCGTTCAAAGAGATATCAAGAACTCGACTCGAATTCAATTAGATATATTATCAGGAAAAATCGATGATTAGGAATTAGTGATTTGATTCGGTGATTACGATTCAATGATTACGAAAGCGCGTAATTCTCGAATTATCGTGAGCGCGTAGCCTAGTGTTTCTTGTTATGTTCAAGCTGTCTCTCTCTCACTCTCTTTCTCTCTTTTTTTTCTCTCTAGATATCGTATTAGTTTATAATATTATTATTTCACAAAGATTGTGACGCTATACATATATGTATGTATGTATATATATATATATATGCACATATATATACACAATCGCGATTACGTGTATAAAATATTTCAACATTCGATAGATATTTAACCGACTCTCATTTCACATCATCAACAAATTATTATGTTGCAACGATATTCGTAAACAGTTTTATCGCAACAAGCATTCGCGAGTCGAGAAATCACGTGATATAAACGGCTCTTCCGAATTATCTTCTTCTTCTTCCCTCCCCTCCCCCCACCTTCGCGTGTGGTGCTCACGAATTTTTTCTTGCGGTTCGTTGTGCTTCGAAATTGTGTTTCTCTCACATTTCGCAAATTTTTCTCCCTCGTCCTGTTCTCCCTCCTCGCGCGTCTCGAGGATCTCGCCGTCGTCGTACATCATCAATTCTCTCATCAATCACGCGTTTTTATTCGGACTTTCTCCCTTATTCTTCTCACCCCCTCGCGCGAAATGATTGTCGGCAATGTGATCGTTAAAATAAACCGTTTTTTGTTCTCGCAAAACAAATTTCGCATGATTTTCGATCGGATTTGATTTTGCTCGCTTTTTTTGTTTCTTTCTCAACCCCGCGATGATCCCCGGTGGATCGCCCTCTCTCGAGATTTCCATCGAGATTAGTGCCATTACTGCGTGTGTTTGTTGAAATATACGTGCAAATAGGAACCAGTTCACGGGAAATCTGTCCTCGGTCTTGAACGAGACGCGAAGAGCAATTCTGAATGGAATTTCCGAACCGCGGCGAGAAACGCAACACGGAGGAAACACGGAGAAATGGACAAAAACGTTTCTAACGGGAGGGAGGGATAAAATAAACGGCGTGTGGCAAATCAACGACGATACAATATACTCAGACGGAAACTCGTGTCTCTCGCTCGCGCGAAACACACACCCGCGAATAAAGCTCGCGCGCGTTAACGCGCGCGATAACGAGCGGATTCTGCGCGAGTCGGCGGTTCGTAATTAGCCGCGCACATGTGTAAAAAAGTCAATCCCGACCCCGGGAAGTTTTACGCTAATGAGTACTCCGGAGAGAGAGTAGTTTCCCCGCGCTGAGAAACAATTGATTTAAACTCGCTGGGGGGGTCACGTCTTCTTCTTACATCGTTCGCAAAATAAAACAGACAGCGACGATTGCGCGCTCACAAACAACGCGCGCGACGAATTGAGCGCGAACAACATTGTGATAAACGTATCTCGGTGTAAAATATACGATCGGCAGATTCCGACACATCGCATTTTCGAGATTTAATATTTTTAACAACGTCGCAACACAAATGTGTGTTGATTGAAAATAAATCTTCGACTTAATCGGAGGTAAAAGGTGTGTAATATAATATCGATAGCACATTTTAATGTCGTCGAACGGTCTGCAACGAAAAGAGAGTCGGGCAATGAAAATCGCGCGCGATCCACCGAAGCAACATAAATCGTCGTCGCGGACGTAAGCGTGTCCTCCGATATATATGTCGATCCTCTTTTTTTTCTTTTTTCGCAGCGCTTGATCACGATGGATTCACCGAGGTCCTCGAGGACGCGTGACTCTGTACGAAAACAGGGGTGGTCCAACTTGGCAGTTTTTGTCCGCCCTTGTCGCATTCTCGCTTTTGTCTGTCTGTCTGTCTGTGTGTGTGTGTGTGTCTGTGTGTGTGTATACATGTGTGTGTACGCGCGCGTTCGTATAAGATACACACCGTTCTCATGCGGCTCGCACGATTCGAACGAATGAGCGGGGGGGCCGATCGATCGATCGACCCTCTTTCGATCGACCGAATAAGCGACGCGTCACAGCCGCGTATACAATTGCACTTGTATCTCTCTCTCTTGCGTGATACACGCGCCGTGTAGTGGCAAACATGCGGCGCGAGAATATCCGGCGGAAGCGCGGAAGGGTTTCGCGTGTGTGTATAACGTCAGCGTTCGAGCACATGCGAGATAAAGGGTCTTTGAAGCCGGCGAGAACGTGAAAAAATATGTATCGAGCGTGGAGGGTCGATCGGCGCCGATCGTTGACGGTGCGAAAATTTCCGTTTTAAAAACTACTTTCTTCGCGAGGAGGCTTCGCGCAGCCTTTGACATTTTTTCTTTAACCGGCGTTTGTACGGAAGAAATAAGGGCGTACGAAGAACGAAACACAAACGGTAACACACAGCCATCTTTTCCTCTCTGTCTCTCGGTTCTCTCGTTCATATTGGTCACGGCGCCGCGCGCGTTCACCCTGCCGATCGTCCAGGCCGCACGATTTTTGACTTTCCTTATCCGTTTTGTTTGTTTGTTTGTTTTTTTTTTTTTTGTTTTTTTTTTCTCGAGATGGTTGAACACCCCTGTATTTCTATATGGCAGTTATTTTATTAAGTCCGTCTCGGCTCCCCACGAGAGACCCTCAACAGATCGCGGCGTTTAATTGTAATAAAACGACTCGGGTCGTTTAACTTTTTCGCGCGCGGACGTGCGTGCGCTCCACAAAGCGACTAACAGTATATTAATTACATCGTTAATTATTATTCTTATTATTTATAAGAAATATATCGTTATTGTTATTATTTATTATCGAAAGGCCGCAACAACGCTCTTCCGAGGACTGCGCGATCCCCCCCCCCCTTTTTTTCTCGTGACGCCGTCGACTATAGTCGCGCAAGTTTTTTCTCTATTTCGCGCCGTCGTCGCGAGATCGCATCGATTGTGACGAACGAGAGAGAATCGATCTCGATTATCGCGAAGAGAAAACAAAAATTACAAGAGAAAGAAACATTTCGATCGATGGGATCTCGCGATATGTTTCACTTTCAGACATTCTCGACAGCGTGTTCCTCACACCTACCTTTCGTTTACGATCTAGAGGCACTCTCTATCTCTCGGTCCAACTCGCATCGCTATCTGTACCGGGGCTTCGCATTTCTAGAAACGTTAATTAAGTCACTTAGAACGAAAGAAATGTAAACCGCAACGAAGCGTGAAATCGACGGAATCGGCGATTTCTTCTTGTTTTCTTCTCCATTATTTATCCTCTCTCTTGCCCTATTACGAAAGCCGGAAGCGTTTCCCAGGCGTGTTTCCCCCGGTAAGATTGAGATGTGCCGTCGCCTTACCGCCGCTGCCGGAAGTCTCCTGCCTTTCCCCGTGGCGTTTCGTGGTGGAACGTCGTTGATGGTCTCGCTCTTGCTCTGCTTCCTTATTCGCCTAAGTAAAAGCACCCTCGCGAAAGAAACCGGGCCGCGCAACCCGGCGGCGATTTCCGCAAGCGTTAGGAACCCGGGAACGTTACGGAATGTTCCTTTTCGTTCTCGCGCGCGGAGAATGGGGGGGTGGTGGTGGTGAGTCGCGCGGAGAGGCGCGAAAGCCAGCGACAAGTCCTCTTCCTTTGCCGCGCTTTCCCGTCACTTCGACGCGCTCGACGTAGCCGTCTCCTTGAATCGTCGTTGGACGTCGTTCCTGCGAGGGACAGAGAAAGAAAAGGGCGCGAGTATAACGCGATATGCTGCTGGACGATCGCATCGAAAAAAAAAAATAAATAAATAAAAAATAAAAAGAATTAATTTCAGGCGGGCAGGATGTTACGCGATCGATCGCTTTCGTAATTATAAAGTTTCTTTTAACTCATTTCGCCGTTGATAAAGTTCGCGTCTCTTTCTAATGTGTCCTGCCTGCAATTTTGTTTCAACTTTGAGATCAGCGCGTATGAATTTAAAATTCTTGCTAATATATTTCGATAAGTTGAAAAATTTTCAATTGGATATAACGTTAAGTTTCGAGAAAAAGAAAATTTCGATCGAGAGACGTTCCTCTCTCTTCCGTGATTGAATCGAAAAACTTTTGCGAGTCGATAAGATCGCGCACGAAATAAAAATTTCTTCGCTTTTCTCGAAGAAGAAAAATATTTCACATGATGCACACGCATGTTATATCTGCGCGACGAAGACTTTGCAACTGCTTCTTTTTTCTCTTTTTCTAATGAAACGCACTTTTTTGCACGTTTCCATCCTGAAGTGTCGAATCGCGTTTATAATACATTCCGCAACACCGTCGCGTTATATTCCGCGAAGTAAATCATGTTCACGATCAATTCCAATGCGCGCGAATATGTTCGATTACTTGAAATTGCTTGTAATCGAATGATCGTGCACACGCGTCTAATACATAAATAATAAACACGCGCGCCGCGCTTTGAAGCACCGCCCGGGCAATTACGCGCACGGTGAGATAGAGACATACGAAATTGGGAATTTTCGGTGCGCGCGCGACGATCGACGAGCCAGAGCTTATTATACGGTGCTTGTTAACATTTCCATGCAGCATTTAACTGAGTTATGGGTCATCCGGCTCGCGCGTAATGATCGCGAACTATTTGATCCGCGCGCGCGCGATACGGATTTACATACCCCGGTTTTGAGTCCGTAAACCGTTTCACGCGCAACGACGAAACATAATAAACACAGGAAAAACGCAATCGATGTGTTAATTTTCTTGCGATATGAGAAGAAAAATAAAAAAGATAAAATAAGAGACAATAATACAATAAAACAATTTGTTGCGGCGTCTTACCAAATTCAAGGAGGCGCTATCTCTGAGATTTTGTGTGTGCATTTTGACGGTTTGACCGGGGCAGTCTGTTTACTGGACGATTATGTGTGGCGCACGCCACAGTATCACCACCGTAGCCAGAACCGTGAATAACGTGAAGACGAACAGACAGAGCCTTGATTTCACAGGGGAGAAATTTCAATGTTAGTTCTGCAAGTAGATATCTCTGACAATAGAGAGATTTTAGACACGGACACATTAACGATGAAAAGTTTATTTGTATATGCACACACACACACGGGAAATCCGCGCAACTGAGAGAGAGAAGCGTGTTGGGAAGACGAAATTACTCCCAATACCATGTTTCAATTGCAGCGATTCACATTTCGACGCGAAAATAAATTTTACGTTTCGCTGAAATTTTTGCGGTTTTCAATTGAAGTTATAGGTATTGTTCCGAGTCTCAAAGGAATGAAATTGTTGAGCAAACCAAGCGTAGATTACTTGTACATCTAGTAATATTTTACTGAATAAACAAATCTCTCTCTCTCTCTCTCTCTCTATCTCTCTCTTTGCGAACAATTACAATAATGGTCACATTACAATAAAGTTAACGAGTCTGCGCATAAATGTTGAATGTGAATTTTCTTTGGGTGGAAAAGCGAGGATTTGAACTAAACTTCGTGTCCTGTGTTTAAAAGCTTTGTGTTAAAAGACACCGCGACGAAGCGCTTGCGCCACAACGCATAAAAAATTTAAAACATCCAACCTGTCGACCACCATGGCGGCGAACTTCCAGTCGCTAACGATCTCGTCGTCGTCGTCGTTCTTTTTCATGCGACTTGTGATGAACTGCACCTCCTTGAGAATCGAGTGAAGTTCCTTCTGCATGCCGCTCAGAGGCAGTGACGCCGATGTCTCCTCGATCGTCGACGGTCTGCTCGAAAGATGGGCAGGCGTGCCGTACGCCGACCTGCTGTAAAGAGATCATTGGACATGAACTCTATTTGCTTTAAACGTCTCTCTTTTTCTCTCTCTCTCTCTCTCCCCGAAATTCGGTGCCGTTTACTGTCTTAGCTCTAGACTAATTTTTCTAAACAGCAGCGTGTTCACACAAGAGATAATTTAAAAATCTCTCTAGAGAAAATATGTGACAACTTTTCAATATTTTCTTAATACTTCGCACAGAGAGCGAAACTTGAGGTAATATCGAAAACTATCGCGCGGTCGCGAATTTAAATCGAAACAATATGTCACAGGACCCCCACGTTTCCATTATCGAATTGCCGCGGCGACGTGACGGACGGACGAGAGAGAGAAAGAGAGAGAGAAAAAAAAAAGACAGATTGCTCGATGAAAATCGTCCGGCGAAACTAGAAGCGATTATCGAAGAGTCGGAACGAAAAAAAAAATGCGAAGGTGGAATATTTTGTTAACAGTCGGCGAGAATCCGGGGAAGAGGAGGAAGAGATGGAGGAAGAGAAAGAGGCAAAAAAAAAAAACTCACAAGAAATCTCGCGGGAAAACGCGAAAATCCGGATTCAGAGTCGGCGTTATGTTATCGAGAGTCGAAAATCTCGATATTTGATTCCGCAGCGGGATATAACCGTTACGGCCATTTTAACGGGCGACAGATTCCGCGCGCGAATGAATCTCCGCTCCGCTCGCACGTTATTGCACGGCAAACACGTCGTGTACCACTCTGTAATCCATTTACCAGTCCGTGTCTTGGATTTCTCTCCCGGTAGAGACGTGTAAAATAACGCTGAGCGTTATACACTGACAAACGCGTGCGCGCGCGTCGCGAGTTACGTACAACCGAGTGCATTTAATCGGCGGGGAAAAAAAAAACGCGTGTCCCGTGTCTGGTTCGTTGACATTGCGCTTGTTGCGCTCATCCGATGCCGGTCTGACAATAGATCATTATACGCGTTTGCGTTTGAGACCGAGTATTTTTTGTTTTTCCCCCAAATCGTTGCTTTTTTGACGACACAGGATTAAAGCGCGACGTGATTTCATGTGGGATTTCTCGCGGGTTAACGCTCGTCCGTTACCGAAAAAATAAACGCGCGCGCGCTCTTGTTAGCGAAAATAGCGCGGTTAGTCCAGAAAAAAAAAACGAGCGTAAAGCTCCTTTTACACCGCGCGAAATTTTCGCCAATCGCAACGAGCGAAGAAGAAATTTGAACCGGTGAGAAGCGGCGGCGGCTACCTCATATAGCTGCAGCTAGGATTGGCGGAGCTGTTCCCGCGACGAAAATCGTCGTCGATGTCTAAGACGTTCGCCAGTAAACTCTTGCTGCTCCTCTCCTGCAATTCCAGATCCTTCATCCGATTACCCATGAGAATGCCCCTCTTCGAAAGCTTCTTGCCCGGCCGACTCATGCGCAAAAGACGCGGCAGCCAGTTCAGAAACAATTGTCTCGTCTGCGTGAACACATCGAAATGAATTGACGTCGTCGTATGAGACGAGTCATGAATAAAATATTTCATCAGTTTTATTACTAGCGAGTTCTTGTTCTTTTTCAATGCTCGAACTCGACGAACAAGTTGAATCTTCCTTCCTTCCGAATCAAAGAATTATTCATCAGAGACTCGGAGAGGAAATTCGTGTTGTATTCCCGGACGGACTTTGTGTCAATAAGCGCCACGCGGATGCTTTGTAAACGAAATATACACTTGTTTGTCGGATCCGCATTACGTTTCCGGTGTGTGTGTTTGTGTGTGCGCGCGTGTGTGTGTGTGTGTGTTGACAAGAAACTTGCGTAAACCGACAAGTTGAGAGCAAGCGCCAACACCTCGAAAACATTTTGATCTTCTTAAGAGGTGAAGAGCAAATCTCTCGCTCGACGTGTGCAAAATGTTCTTGTTGTTATCAATATGCGAAATAATTTTTACACACACGCGCGAGTCAAACTAACGCGTTTAGCTGCGTCGAATCTATACGCAATCTATAGTTATCGCTCCTGTGATAATTGTTATTTCCTTTGAGTTACTAAACACGCGCGATTAGAAATATTAATAAATTATATATACGTGCACAACACACAGAGAGCGCGATTATGCGCGCGCTTAATATATATCTAATTATAATTATCTGAATGTTTCGCTGATAACAATAATTTCAATTAAATTTGGCATATTTATGACCGCATTTCATTATCGTGATTATAAATTACAATTTCAAAATTGCTCGGCGGTTCAATTATGGGACACAATGGGAAGCAATTAAATTTGTAATGCCGATATAATGCCGACGGGGCAATAACGAAAGTTGCAAGTGCAATTTCGACTAATCCTTGTAGTTTAAGCAGCTTAATTTCGCTTTGTGTTTATGTTAAAATGATTAATCTTTATTCGATTGCGGGGGGAGAGCGACGTTTTCCTATTCGCATTTTTTGAGTCGCGTTTTTTGTTTTTTGTTTTTTTTTTTTTCAAAGCAACTTAAAAAACATGCGCGTTTGATGCGAAAACTAGTTTTGCGTCAGATATTTCGCGTGTAAATTATTCTCGAAAAAATTTTTCACCGTCAGCGGTGACAGCGGGGACGAAAATATATAAATATATATGAACGCGCGCAAAATACACGAGCAAATATACTAACAAATACAAATAATTTATGTAATTATGTACACTGAGCGCGAGTACAACGTTAGCGGAGTTTATTTATTAATATCTATTTTTCACTATTTGTGTGTGCGCGCTCGAGATTACTTTGATGACCGAGTGTGCGTATGTGTGTGTGTGCGTGTGTGTATTATTGTTTGTTTCAACATTTGATCATTAAATATACTCTCGCTTGCACTTTATTGCGACTCTACTATCACTACCATTGTTTGCTGTTAATTACATTTAAGCCAACTAGCTATAATCGCTAATAATTGCGTGTAATTGCATAAAATTTCTTACCCAATTTGGCATGTTATATCTGTCGGGCGTTCTGTGATGATAGTTGAGCACCAGAACGGTCAATACGACGCTACTCGCCACCATGAACATGATGCAATTGAAGTATGATCCTGAATTCGAGGTATTCCCGAAAATCCCCCGAAGAAAGAACACAAAAAGAAAGCGATTAGTCACGGAAATAGCGCGGATTCGCGCTCTCTTCTCGCGCCGAGAATGAAAGATTATTATTTCTCGCGGATATAACCGTTTTCGTTTCTTAGTTTCCAGTTCGGTTCAACAGATCTCGCGTAATCTCTCTCGACGGAAAAATGCGCCTTCTTCCGCGGCGCATCTCGTTCCATTTTTGTTGCACCCGCGTTAAATCCTTAATAATCTTTCATTCTCTCTCACACAAATGCTCCTCGCGCGTTTCCGGTCGCGCAGCGCTCAAGGAGAGGTTGCGAAAAATTCGTCGGGGAAAACGCGTTCTTAAATGTTTCAAACTGAAAGGCTCTCTCGATAAGCGAGAGAGAAAGAGAAAGAGAGATACATTATAACGTATTCAAAAACTAAAAATGCCGTTCTCAAAGCGCAATTTTCCGCGCGGGATTCGCATTCCGATGTTATAAATATTTATCGGAACACCAAAAGCGCGAACTTCCGCGTTATTTTAAAAATCTGTTCCAATCCATCCGGGCGTCTCGCGTTTACACATTTTTCCCATTCGTCGTATCGCGCATCGAGGCTCGTTTCTTTTTACTTAACTTGATTTCTTTATCGGCGGGAAAACCTCGACGCGTCGTCGTCGTCGTCGTCGTCATTGTCGTCTATTTTCCAGCGAGTGGCAAGTAAGCGTACACGGAGGATTCTCTCAAGAATCGTGACGAAAATTCACGTGCCTCTCCTTCAGCGCGAGAGCGAAGACACACATGTCACGACGCGACATACACACACTTGCAGTTTTCAACACACACACACAGGGGCGGGTTCGGTGCCGCCCCAAAACGGGCCCTGTTTCACACAGGTCGACCCTTGGCGACACTCGCACACACTTGGAGGCGAAAATTGAAGAAGGAAACAATAGAGACAAGCGAAGAAACAAGCAAATAATCGGTTGTAACAAACACCACAAAGCTAAAGGTAAGAAACGCACGCGCACACACATACACACACATACATACACAAAAACAGATATACATACACACTTACACACATACACGAGAAAAAACATATAGATCACTAAGATACTAGAACACTACATATATAATATCAGCAACAGAGACAAGAAAAAAATACAGCAAAGACATCCGAGAGATGTCCTCTGAGTAGTCTCTTACGTGTTCCTCGCATTTCTGTGTGTTTTCTCTACAGACAGGCAGCGTAAAAATATGTCTGGAAAATGTCGACGAGATATTTAAAAGACATTTAAAGCGGCGTTCAGATGTCTTTTAAATTGTCATATCTGAGTGAGTTTTTCTTACGAATTCTTGTGTGTGTCATTTTGTTTAAATAGGCAAAAAGAGAGAGAGAGAGAGAGAGAGAGAGAGAGAGAGAGAGAGAGAAAGAGAGAAAGAAGTATAAGAGTGTACTTATTTGTGCGTACATATAGAGACGTGTAAAATGGAGTAACGGAAAGAGCAATAATGTTGCGCAGAGAAATACAGAGCGGTGGAAGAAAAATTACATCATTCATGCGACTACGGAAAATGCAGCTTAATCTCTATCGCTCAAACGCGCACACTAAGGCATTATTATTATCTCTACACAAACGTTCCGTGTGGATTTTACTACTAGTATCTTCTTATCTCGATATAAGATTGCAAAGAATTACTTAATTATTAGACACAACACAAGGATGCAACATCTCGTGAAAGAACGTTTTAAGCTGCGGTTGAGACTACGCACTAATGGGGGATCGGGATATCGACTCTTTATTATTGTCAGTCAAACGACTTATATATATATATATATCTTGCATCTTAATCTCACGATCACAAGTCAGAACTCGTACGTTCTGACGCGAAAACTTACGTGACTCGAGTGTCGCATGTTTTTCCAAGGAGAAATCAATACAATCGATCACATAGTCGATCTTGTTGTCCGCAGACACCGGAGATATGATTATGCGTTGTGCATTAATTAATTAAATTTATGTATTAATTCAAACAATTGTTTATGTTCATTCACACATTGCGCAGATTGCGTGTATCGCATTGTGTAACTTGCGATCCTGTGTTTTCCAGGATCCTTTCAGTGATGCTACAAAAAAGCGAACGCTTTAAAAGACTGCGAGATTGTGAGTGAAATCATTGCGTTAATGCGCACGCACTGAAGAGAAATGTGTAAGATGGAATTATTATTCCGAAAATCATCTTTTTTTTTTCTGGTTTTTTTTTTGTTTTTTTTTTTTTTTAAAGCAATACCTCTAGTTCCTGTGAAAAACGTATAAAATATTCCAGCGCCACGCCGTAAAATATTTTAATATCCCACTTTTTCTCGAATTACTTTTTTACGAGCGAATAACCAAGCTCCTCTTTTTTAAACGTAGAACGGAGGCAGCGTTACATCGCGCGCGGATGCGAAAAACGTTTCTCGCAAATTAAAGATTTTCGAGCGATACATTTTCATTTATCTCCGCACTCGGACGCGGAGTCGGATATTTTTATTCGCGCTTCCTTGCGAAAATTCACTCGTAATTCCAATTACTCTCCAGGTTCCTTCCCCTGGAGGTATATATATAATTATATATCGGAGAAGGATATGCGCTGCCGAACGAGCGCATTCAAAATGCCGCATTGAGAAAAATCAAGCGGACGAGAGGCGCGCGCGAAAATGAGAAAAATGAGAAACAAGAGAGCTTCAAGTGTCGGCGAATTAAACGCTAAAAGGGTTGCCTTCTTTCATGTTATCTCGGCACACTCTGTGTGTGTGTGTGTGTTTAATGGCTTCATAAAGCTCGGCACGAGCGTCTCAAGCTGTGATTAATCGCCGCGTATACGACTATCTTCTCTCGCGCCTTTTATTAATGCATCCTGAAGACTTGTCCGCCATTACGTGCCCGGTTGAATATTTATGACGTTTCGAGTTACTCGATCCTTTCGCCATAATATCGTCCGCCGGAGATTCGCACGTCGTAAGATAATAGCTGTAAAATCGCTCGCAATTTTGTCGAAAATGAAAAACTCGAATCGGCTAAACACTCCTTATTAAACGCGTTTGATTAACCGTCGCATTCAATTTGAGATCCTCAAAAATGATCAGAAAATCAATTGCCGCGATTTACATCGAGTCGACGATCCAAATATTTTGCGCGAATAAATTTGTTTTTCCGCGGATATTATAGATCAATACGATTTCGCATTTTCCCAAATTAAACGTGACACACACACGGCGGGCTTTCATATTAACGCATCGCGTCATGAGAAAATGATGATATTTCAGCGAAAACTCGAAACGCCTGGCAACGTCGCGGTTATTTATTCCGAGATATTTATTTTATACACGTACGTAGAGATAAACATCCGAGCACAGCGCGTATATACCGAAATTACGTGCCATCCCGAGCGTGAAAAGTGTTTCGTTTGTCGTTTTTTTTTTTTTTTTTTTTTTTATTAACAAAGTTTATCGATCGCTGGACTTATGACGCGTACGTGTCTTTTCTCTCCCTCTCCTGTTTCGAACAGAAATTTAAGCCTGTCAAAAAAGATCGTCCGCTGGTCGGACCTTCTAATTTTTCAGGATCCCTACGTAAACACATTTACTCGTCATATTAATACCGCACGTACGTGACCGGACATAAAGAACATTTTTCACTCGAATTTGCATACAGGTAGCCGGCTGCTTGTTTATACGTTATGCATAATACTAATATTATTATTACACATATATATGTATGTATATACATATCTAACGCAGCACATATTTTTGCAAAATATTTCCTACTTTATATAACGCGCGCTTTGTTCGGGCTGTCATATTGCTTCGATTTAATTACGGCCAACAAAATAATTGACGTCGTCGAATTTCCAACTGATAAAATATAGGTCGTAATTTAAATTATTCCACCGAATTAATTCGTCGTTACATGCGCGATGACGATGTCGACTCACTCTGGTCTGGTCAATGTGATGGTTAATGCGGGATTTGCGAATCATTGTCACAAATACCGATGTTTTGTCGTTGCTTCAAAATAATGCGGTAAGAGAAAATACACAGCGCGTGATGCATGAAACAAAAAAAAAAAAAAAAAAAAAAAAAAAAAAAAAAAAAACTCGTACACGCGCTCGATGATTACTTGCAAAATC